GTGCATGTCTTGACTAAAATAGTGCTGTCTTTCTGCTGTATTAAAGGAATATATAAATGAGCAGCAGACCAATAACAGATGTGCTAACCACGACCAGAAGAACAACAAACATATCTGGGCAGCCCAGAAGACCTTTCTGTCAATTTAGGAATACATTTCTAAAACCTTTTTATTGGTTTTGAAATCCCTTAATGGAAAATACCCGAGTTATTCTTCAAACACATTTTAAAATCCCCCCCACGCCCCTCCCAAATCACTGGGGTCCTATGAAACTGGCCCTTAGCCCTTTCTGTGGTGAAGACACGGGATTGAGAGAACATGTCTGGATCAGTGAGTCTCTGAAGGAGCTGAGAGAGTGACCAAGTCTCCCTCAGTCGACAGACCTTCAGCACAAAATGTCAAAAACATTCAGTCCACGTCCTGCTACGGACTGATGACAGACACGTACTTTATGGTAAAGATTTCCGTCTCCAGGTCCGAGTTCTTCTTCTTCAGCTCCTCCATTTCCTTCTCCACTTCAGCTGACCTCAATCCCACGACCTGATCAGCAGTCACACCTCGGGCCTTCAGCTTTTTCTGCAGTGAAGTCTTCTCTTGCTCTAGTCTGTGTTTACAGTCATACAAATACAAAAAGCAACATAAGTAATATTACCGTACAGTATTTGAATTTTGATGAGTATGAGTAGTTACTACTGGGGCCCAGAAGGCTTCAGGTTCAAGTCCATCAATCTAATTAATTACATTGGAAAACATTTATATTACTTTTGTCAAAATATTATTTTAATTTTGCCTTTGCATGGACTCCAGCCACATAACGTAAACTGTTTCTCCACACGTACCTGTTGTACAGCTCTTTAAAAGTGCTCAGCTGTTTGGAAAGCGTCTCATTCTGTCGTTCCTTCTCCATCAAGGACAGCTTCACTCTCTCCATCTTGGTCTGCCACTTCTTACCCTCCTCCCACCGCACTACCTGTTCTTTGGTCTGCTGTGCATGAACGCATGTATGCAGTGAGCACTTATTCTGATAAATGACACAACTGTCTGCTACTTTGAAAGTCCAGTGTTGACTGTACTGATGTTCCAACCTTTCCACGATCGTCCTGCTCATTTTTCATTTCTGCTCTATTCTCCAACTCCAGCTCCAGCCTCCTGACCTTCTTCTGCAGAGTTTCCACAGTCGGCTCCTTCCCATATGGTTCTTGTTGGTCCTGAACACAGAGACAAACATGGAGATTTTCATAGCACCTGGCTGTTCTCAGACTTGGTCGTGAAAAAGATGGATGGAAAGAAAGGAAGAAAGTAGGAGAAGAAAGATTTATTTCCTCATTTTTTAAGGTGCGGTTGTATGAGATACTGACTCAGCACTGACAACTGACAACATGTCGCTTTATTTCACAGAGTCACAGCAAAACGACAAAGTAATCACAGGTTCCCAGGTCTTCACAGAACGTTAGGGGGAATACGATTGGCCGTCACCCGTGATTGACAGCTGGATGTTTCCACACATGACAGGAATGACTACAGTGAAGGAGCCACATGACACAGGGGAGTGTATTAGCCCTGAGATAAAATTACAATCACAGGGATTTGGTTAAATTCACCCATAAAAAAAAGACATGGGTTAACTTGTAACTACAAGTTCATAACTTTCTGTTCAAAATGAAAATAAAAACAAATGAGGTTGACATTAAACTTTTGTACTTGTAAATCATCACTTACGTCAAATGGTGCTTTTATTATTATGGTCTTTGCTGTGTGGAGCTGACACTGTAGTCAGTGCTGTCTCATTATTTGATACAACATCAAACATCAACAAGACCAAGAGTCTGAAATTGGGAAACAGTTCATGCTGGGACACAGTGACTGACTTTTATTAAAAGCTCGTGTTCACTGCAAGAAGAATTTCACACTTACAGTTTGTGAGATTCCAATCAACAACTAACTTATTTATGATCAGCATGTCCTTCATTTAAATTTGGTCATATTTCATGCTCTGTGAGTCTTGTGTGTGTCACCTGTGTCACATGGCGCTCTGCTGACGACGACAGACCAAGTCGCCGTCACAGCTTCAGATTAAACACCGTCACAAGGCTGCTGCTTTTACAGCATTCTTCTCAGACACTGACCTGCAGAGCCGCACTCAGCCTCTTGTTTTGTTGCTTCAGAATGTGGACTTCCTTTTCACACTCCTCCTTCTCGACCTGTGCTCGTCTCTGGGCTTTGTGACACCTCTGGAGATCCTGGTTCAGACTGTCCACCTCCTTTCTGAGCACGCTCTCGTGACCTCTGGAGGTCTTTGCAGACTCCTTGGCAGCTTGGAGATCCTCACTTAACTCTTGCACCTTTGCCTTTAAATAATAATAAAGAACAACAAGGCATTGGTTGTGGCTTGGAAACATTCCCATTTATCCTGTCTTAGGACTGATCAGGTTGTTGGCTTGGGATAGCAATGAGTTAATCACTTCAAGTC